AAGAAAGAAAGAAAGAAAGAAAGAAAGAAAGAAAGAAAGAAAGAAAGAAAAAAAGAAAGAAAGAAAGAAAGATAGATATGAATGGCTAGATAGATAGATAGATAGATAGATAGATAGATAGATAGATAGATAGACAGACAGACAGACAGACAGACAGACAGACACATCTTGTTTTTCAGTTCTGAGCATGCAGAACAATTTTAATTGCACTGCGCATCCGCACACACGCAGCACCTACATGAGCAAACCAGCAGTAGTGCTTGCCGTAACGCACTTCTGCTATAGTCCATAGGGTCACAAAGAACCAGACACGACTTAGTGACTAAACAACCTGCCTAAATATTATTTCCAGGGCGACACAAATGTTCTTCTTTGCATTATATAAAAATAAAAGAATCTCTCCCGCCACCATCACCAAAGACCTTACCTCCATGATAGGACTGGAAGCCAGGACCTTCTCTTCAACATTGGATTCGCTGGAGGAACCTCCAACTGATGCAAAGAACCGCATGGCGTATTTAGCCGAGACTGTTTTGCCCGCCCCGGACTCCCCACTAACGATAATGGACTGGTTCTTCTCATCCCTAAAGAAAGAAGGAGAAAGAGGAGGGAAAAATGAATCTAACATTCTTCTATGTTCTTGCCAATTCTGACATTACTGCTGTTGCTGCTTCAGGTTCTGACGACGGCTGTCGGCTGCGTCGGGAGGACGTAACAACTGCTTCATATGGCTTAGCCTTCTTTTTAGGGATAAAATAGCACAATGTGCAGGTTCGATTCCTCCCCCTCTAAGAATCTGTAACCTATTTAAAAATTTGATCTAGTGGATAAGGTACCTGGCTAGAAAGCGGGAGACTTTGAGTTCTAGTTCCGCCTGAGACATACAAGTTCCCCCGGTGTCTTTGGGCCAATCACCGTGAGATTGTGAGTTCTAGTCCTGCCTTAGCCATGAAAACCAACTGAATGACTTTGGGCCAATCACTCTCTCTTGGTCCAACTTACCTCACAGGGCTGATGTTGTGGGGAAAATACGAGAAGGAAGGTGTGTTGGATATGTTTGTGCCTTGAGTTCTTTGTAATATAATAAAGGAAGATACATACAAGTAAATAAATAGTTGTTTTAGAACAGGGGTGTCAAACTCAAGGTACGGGGTGCTCAGATCTGGCTCGCGGGACCGCATGGAAAGAGCAAGCAACCGCCCCGCGGTGCCTCTGCCAGCGAAAACAGAGCTTGAGAGGTCTGTGTGTGGCCCTCGCGATCTCCATTTTGGCTGGCAGAGGGCTGCAAGGCGTGACCCGTCAAAACCGTGCCCGACTAAGCCGCGCCCGATTAAACCGCGTCGCTGACGTCATCAACAGGACGACAACAGCCAGCGCGGAGAAAGAAGGGCGCTTTAAATAAGCCGATTCAACTTAAGGTAAGGGTTAGGTTTAGGGTTAGGNCGATTTTTTTACAGCAGCTGAGTATGTGATCAACAGTTTCATCAGCTTCTTTGCAAAAAGAATTATTATTATTATTATTATTATTATTATTATTATTATTATTATTATTATTATTATTATTATTTTGTTTTTATCCAGTAAATCATTGGCACTCTCACCCAGGAGAATAGGAGTGGAATGCGTTAAAACACAATATAAATAATCTCATATGAAATTACTGTTCGCCTATCACACAATGATGTGATGGTAATGTGGAATAATGTGATAGTAATATGATAGCTGCATGTGTTTTTGTCCCCCATTTTGCACGTGCAGCTCATCCATATGGAATCACATATTTCTATATATAAGCAGGAAACTTTGTTTCATCATTAAATTTTAAATGGATAAGTGCTTGCACCAAAAATGACAAATTGAATTGAAAAGGTTTATTTTTTTCATTATGACTACTTTTATTCACCAGAATATAGAATTTAAGAGCTTCATAGCTGAACAATTTCACTTCACCTTGCCTATCTATTGATTTATAATATTGCAAATTGTAATTAGACATATCACATTCGGTTGTAAGGGCCACTGTAGTCCAAAAATGCTTAAGCTTGTCAGGAAAATTTTGAAGAATAAAAACCAAAAAACTAAACCTGTGCTTCCTGAACAGACTGCAATCGAAACAAAATAGTTTCTGCTAAGTATATAGTTTATATTTTTCTATTTAACTTTGCTTTGAGTATGTCAATTACCTGTCAGTTAGTTACAGACTTAATTATTTTCCTAATTTTCAAGAGCCCCATTCCACTGATAAGCATCTTTGGTGTATACAGTCTGGATCAGCCTTGCTGCTCCATCAACTGATATTGAATTAAAAGGACAATAAATCCTATTTGGCAACCTGGTCTAAAATAATGGAGAGCATTTGGCAGCAAAGGCTGAACTGTAATTCAAGCTCATCTTCTCTGACAACTGGAGAGGGACACACATGGCTGGAAAGCTTATTTTGGAGTTTGAAAGCTATTAAACATCTTCTGCTGGCTTTGACACCAAGTGGTGCAATGCCAGAACTTCAGTGCCAAGGGATACCCAAAGAGAAGGCATATGGCCTGACTTGAAGTCTGCTGAAGAATTCAATTGCATTTATGAAAGAGCAGGGGGGGGGGATGTGTTTCTCTTTATTAAAATTGCCAGCTCATTTCAAAGGAAGGTTAATGTTATGCAAATGTTACTTAATATATGTGGTAATAAGCTACAGTAAGCCACTACAATCATTGAGATTGTATATGTAGGAAGCAAAAGCAATCTAAAACATTTTTCAACAGCTCTCCACAGTGTATTTCTGGGTCCTTGTGCTATATCTCCTTCTTAACTCCCTCATGAAATAATTTTGGTTCCCTGGATTATTTTTTATTAGTATACGTGCAGGAACAGATTGGCTTAAATTGAGGACAGTGAGACAAATACTATAGCCTTACCAGGAAAGTTTAGTTTACAATTTCCCAACTTAGCATCCTCAAGAAGTGCTGGAGTTATAAGTATAGATAGTCCTCGATTTAAGCCTGTTCAAAATTGCAATGGAACTGAAGAGAAAGTGATTTAAAAAATATATCACTACTTATTAAGATTCAAGATGGAAGAAGACATAGTGAAAGAGACTATGATAACGTGGGTGACGAATTATACTAAAGAATTGGCAGAATGGGGAAAATTTTTGGAAATAAACTATAAATTAACAATGGCAACGGCATACAGGGAGAACATATACAGATGTTGTACAGATGGCATCTACCACTGGCAAGAATGTTCCCGGAATGTACACCAGCCTGCTGGAAGTGCAATCAACAATACGGAACATACTATCCTATGTGGTGGACCTGCACATCTGCAAAAAAATACTGGACAAAAATAAAAGACTGGTTGGAAGAGCTCATGGCACATCAAATAGAATTAAGACCGAAACTATTTCTATTAGGAATAATAAAGGGGAAGTATGAGAAAAGAATTAAATACCTTATTCTACACATAATTACGGCAGCAAGAATCTCATATGCACAGAATTGGAAAAATAAACATACCAACGGAAGAAAATGTAATAAAAAATCCTGGAATATGCCGAAATGGATAGGCTCACGAAAGAGCTAAAACATAAAGAGGAATCCGAATATTACTCAGTATGGGATTTATGATATAATTGGTTACAGGAAAGAGGAAAAAAAGTAGGAAAGCTATAAAGAGAAGAAGAAAGATCAAGAAACTACAAAATGAAATGGGAGGAGCCAACATTGCAACGATACATTATTGGATTCGGCTGTCCGAATCCACCGATGAAACTTTTGCCCCTGGATGGTCCAGCAGGACCTAAACCAGTGATGGGCAACCTTTTTGGCGTGGTGTGTCAAAAATCGGCAAAAAATCGAGCATAACTCGCGTTGTGTGTCACTTCGACAAAAACATAATTTTGCGCAATTTATAGTTTAAACTACAAAAATGTATAATTGCAATATATAATTGTATTTAATAAACCAAAAACAAATTATTTAACATACCTGCTTGGTAACTTTATAGATATATAAATTATAGATAGCCAATTAGGGGTTAACTAGCCTAACAAGCTAACACAACCTCCCCCTCACTTATCTCAGTTATTGTGGGCAATTACAAGTCCATGGCACCCCAATAGTTGCTGCTAATGGCGCTCACAGTTCCCGTTGGCCCTCCGCTGTTCCCTGCTGTGGTTCG